TGAGTTTAGATAAAAATATAATATTAAATGATTCAATTTATTTCCTCTAAATAAAAAATTAATATTTATCATTGCTTAGAAAAATTAATTCAATTAATTTTCACTGAATACAATTATTATTAATTGTTAGCACAAAATTAATAAAAAATATTATTATATACAATTAAAAGAGATTATAATGATATTGCATTATAATTATCTATGGAATACCAAATGATTCATTTTATTTCATTTAAATAAGATAATTAATTATTATTATTGCTTTCAAAAATTAAGTCAATTAATTTCCACTAAACACAATTATTACTAATTATTAGTACACAATTAATAAAATTATTATTACATACAATTAAAAGAAATTATAATAATACTACATATATAATTAACTTGGAATGGCATATTTTATTAAGTCAATTTATATTAATATATAGGATTTATTAAAAAAAATTACATATGCAGTTAAATTTTTTGAAACCTAATATTACATATTATATATAATATTTCATTCCTAAAAAATTCTATTTAAAATAATAATAATCTGCAATATTTAAAAGGAAACGATTGAGGAGAAACTTTTGAATAACTATTTTACCCTTACATATATAGCCATAGGTCCCCTTATTTAATTTACAACCTTTTCCTTAAAGTTTTTTATTTTTTTGTCAACTATGTCCTTATTTAATCTTCCAAAATTTTCATGCATAAAGTAAACTCTGCAACTTATAATATTAAATATGGTTCTCATCCTTCAACCAGTTTATCTTCAAATGAAATATAATGTATGCATAATTCTTGATAGTTTATAATATACTGTTATATAATATTATTATTTCTATATAAATATATATTTTTCAAAAGACAATAATATATAATATTTTTTTAATCATTATTGAACATGTGTTCTTGATTTACCTTCATTGAAATAAGAAAAAACTAAAAATTCTTGTATTGAGAGTGAAAATCATAGAGCCTTAAGGGAAAATCGAGGTCAGCAATTTAAAAAAAAAAAAGAGAATAATAAAATCGAAAGATCACACAAAAAAATCACATTCATTACCTTAAAGAAATAGTTAATGGTATGGTTTTTGTTCATCACAGTTGAATAATAAGTAATTAGTTCTTTGAATAATTATTGTCAACATAAACGTGATTAAGAACATTATTGATGTACATTATTTACATTCATTTGTAACAAATTCTAAAATTTATGTCCATTAATATAAAATAGATATGCTTCAAATGTTCTCTCTCTCTCTCTCCCTCTCTCTCTCTCTCTCTCTCTACACACACACTATATATAATGGAAGATTAATTGCCATTTAAGTGTAAAGTTCATTGTTTTATATTGAAATATTTATAATTTTACATTAATCAAATTAAGTCTATTTACTTAAATTACATCATTCAAACTAAGTATAATTACTTAAAATCAATATTATAAAAACCGAAAAAATCGTGAACCATCCTTTAATCCAGTCTGATTCTTAATCATTAATCGAAAAATCAAAAACCCGACTAATAAACCGTCTATTCGGCCGGTTTGATCATGAACCGGAAAAATCGACCCAAGTGATTTATTCTTTTTCACAAAAAACTTTTAACTATTTAAATGAGCCACTCATTGCAATTGAAGGCCCAGGTAACTTTTTTTATACAAGTGATTATTCTATACCTCCTTTTTAAAGGAGAATATTCTTTCAATGTTTTAGTAATTTTTCAGTGTGGGATACTAACTATTTTTTAAAGGAGACTCTTCTTCTAATATTGTGGTAGTCTCTCAATGTGAGATGCTGGTTAATTGTCAATTCTAAGTGTTTACTAGTTTACTTCATCATTTTTATTAACAAAACATAAACCCCAACAAGATTATAATTTTCAATTTGAACAAAGTAAATTATTTTAGACATATTAATTGTTAGTTTTCGAGGTTATAAAATAAACTACTATAATAAATCTAATTAACAAACATGGATTATATTTACTTTGAATGAGAAAACTAAAATTTAAAAATCTATCATAGTTATGATATTTTATCGTTTATTTGTGTATTTATTTATTTAATTTGTCATCCGGTTCGATGCTAGTTCGACCCTGATTCGATCCTTTAAACCTCGACCCTCTTTCTTTTTTGGGTCGATGCCGGTGTCGATTTTTAAAATATTGCTTAAAATCTAATCTCCCATATATAGATGTAATTTTATTATAATTATAAAATATAATATCTCAAAGGTTGCATTAATATATTGGAACTTTAAATACATTGCAATATAATATATATTATAATTTTAACATAATTATATATTTTGTCAAGTTTCGATTTTAAGTGATTAAACTTAATTTGATTAATGTCAATTTGAGTTTTTCAATATGAAAAATGAACTATATATTTAGAAGGAGACTAAATGAAGTTAAATGGTAAATAAACTACCATTAATGGCACCTTCAATATATTATAAAATTATATATATGTATATATATTATATTACATTATTTATATACAAAAGCTCCACTTAAAATCGACGTCCATATACTTATACAATTATAGGTCCTTAGAAACATTCAATAGTTGTTATGTCCATTTATAAACATTGTATTCTTTTTCATTCAAATACTATAAATTGCACGTTAAATTAATATAGTAGATAAAGTAATGATTTAAATACAAAGGGCAATAAATTGAAAAGAAAAAAGTTGCTTAAAGGTTATAAGGCAAAGTGTTGAAGAGAGAAGAAATATAATTAACCATCAATCTTAAAAACCTTACTGATTACTTCTAATAATTAAAAGTTACTTACTATTCCCATATTTGTATCTACCCCACTAAATACAAAAAACTAAATTTTTAAATATTATTGAAAATAAATATTATGTGTTTCAAAAAATATATATATTAATATAGTATTGGTTATTTTATTGTCATTTCATGCTTATTTAAAATAAATATTATATGTTTCAAAACAAATATTAAAATAGCACTGGGTATTTTATTTAATAATTCATATTTATTTTTGAATTACTGTCTCAAAAATATTATTAATATTCTCCAAATGTTACATTTATGTTCATACCAGGTCAAAACTCTTTTTCACGGCAGTTTCTTTCAGTTATATAATAATTCGTATTTGCATCTATTAAATGATTTTTTCCAATAAATTTTGTTTTTTGATATACAATTTGATTCTCCGTTCAAGGTTGGATTTATATTATCCACTTTGGAGTAATTTTTATGTCTTTATTTGAAATATAATATGTTCCAATAATTTGTATAGTTACGAATATTTTTATATTGTTTATATATTTGTCATTATATGTAAACTACAAATAAAAAGATGAAAATTCGTGGGACATTCACAAAAATATTGTATACAAAGAAGTGTTATTGTAATCCAAATATTATATTTCATTTTATTGAATATTTTCATATTATATACACAACTCCAACAAAAGTTTTATTCATATATTTATTATTTTTAATAATTTTAATTTTTTCTTCAATAATATCAATTACATCAACAAGTTTCAAAAAATAACATTAGTACTTCAAAAATATTACGCATATTATTCATTTAATAAATGAGACGTGTAAATCACGTACTTATTACTAGTTGTTATAAAAGTACAAATAGATTTTAAAATAACAACAATATGTAAGGACATCATTATGATTAACGTTCAATTTAATAATTGTATATTAAACGTTTAACTATCAAAACTAGCTTGAGGGACATTTTGATGGCAATATAATAGTTTTATTATTTTCCCATTATCATTTATGAATCATGTCCGTCACAATATTCTTGAAATTATTTCTTATTATTTGTCTACTAAATTTACTATTAAAGTCATACCCCACAACAATGCCAAAAACTTGTTGATATCATCATCATCACAATCTATCTCGAGTACGGTCAAGCCTATTATGATAAATGAATTCTCTATCTTTATGATAATTGCAAATACACAACAGTGCATTGAAATTAATAAAATCCATGATTGCACGAAACATTTGCGTATATATCTATCCTTTATTGAAATCTACTGTATTTGTTCCAATGCGCAAAATACATCGTCATTGTAGCAATTTAGGATTTTAGCTACTAATTAATGTTCAAATTACAAAAATTAAAATTAAAATGTGAATGCATCAACAGGTTGAGAGAGAATAACAAAGATGAGTTGATGAATCTTGTAGCTTGAATTTCAAAATGCAAAAACTTTTTTGATTCTTTGTACAATTATGCTAGTTGTATACTCTTGGGTCACATTGTGGATGACATTCTTCGTATTCTGATGAAATCTGGTCGTTGATTGAAAAAAAGTATTATTAAAATCACCGTACAAAAATCTGTCACCTCCCACAATGTCAAATTTGATGTCAAATTAGATATACATGTAGCAAAACTGGTCTTTGTATTGAAATCCTATCTTCTACATGTTTTTGCCACTACAAGAAAAAATGGCTTTTGCAACATTTAAAAGGCAACATTCATCAATTGTATATTTCTAAAAGGGGTATATTGCAACATTCAGCAAATGTATGTTACCATTGGTTGACCAAATTGGGATTTAACAACGTTTTTTTTTAATGAAAGTTGCTAAATACACCCTTTTGCAATGTTCCTGGACCGTTGTTGTTATTATTATTTTTTTTTGCAACGTGCATTCAATTTTGACAACGTTCAATGAACGTTACCGTTAATAAGTTTTGGCGTTTTAGCAAGGTTCATTGAACGTTCCCTTTAGTTAGTTTTAGCAACGTTCAATAAACGTTGTCGCTAATTAGTTTTGACAGCGTTCATTGAACGTTGCTGTTAATAAGTTTTGGCAACGTTCAAAGAGCGTTGCCTTTAAATGTTTTAGCAACGTTTAATGAACGTTGTCGTTAGAGGTTTTAGTAGCATTTTGCAATAAATTAATACTTAAACAAAACACAAACCACCCCCACCGACTCGACTCGACCCGACCCAATCGGTTAGTGTGGTTAACAACTCAAGTTCCTGCCAATGACAACCCTAATTTCTTCCCTCTTTCTCTCGCTCTCGGTCTCTCGCCACTAGAATCGCGGCGTTGCCTTCCTTCCATCGCCACCATCAACGACGCAGGCGAAAACAACGCCGCCTTTCTTCTTCCCTCCCCTTCACTCTTTCACAAATGACAACAAGCCGGCCCTTTTTTCAACCCAAACCGTGTGAGTCGCGATGCCGCGATTAACAACTTGTTTAGTCGGTCCATCAGTCTCCTCCGCGGCTTGAGGGACTACACTCTGTCACGATTAACAACTCGGCGACTATGCTATGCAAGGTAGATCTCCTGTTTGACTATCGAGTCCTGTGGTACAAAGCAAGGGTTCTTCTGTTTGTCTTCGTGATTGCATTTTTTAAAGTAACTTTCTAAAGATTTGTTCATTTTTGTGTGAGTTTATGTTGATTTGCAAGGTAAAAGTTCATTTTTGTTTTTACTAGTCCTAAGGCAGCGAACCTTACTGTTTTTATATATTTAGAAAAGACGAATTCTTGTTTTCAGTATGTGTAAATTTGTTTACAATAAACCAAAAGTTCATTTTTGTTTACTGATTTCATATATTTAGAATTAGAAAAAACGAATTCTTTAATGCAATATGTTGTTTGATGATTAATTAATAGGTGAAATGAAACTCATTCGAAGTGTATTATTGTCTGCAAATATCGATTTGTCTCACCAATTTCAAAAGCCTCAAGCAGTTCGAGCTTTTTCTGCCACCCCATTTTCAGGTAATTATTTCTTCCACTAATGCTTTGGCTTTATTATTATTATTTTGATTGGTGGTTGAGTTATTTTGCGAATATGAAGTTGATTTAATGGCTTTCTCCATTGCCAATAAATTTTTATTTATTTACTCAATTAAATTCATATAAACCATTTTTTGAATTTGGTGAAGTAGAAAGTTATTGTGAATGATTAATTATTGTGTTGCCCAAAATGGTTTACAAAGGTTTTGGTTGGTGCAAGGAACTTGTGTTCCTGTTTTTGAAACAAGATTTGAGGGAATATTACTGTTTGGGTTTAGAGTTTGGTTAAGTAGTTTACGTTGTTTAATTGTTGGCACAAATGGAAACGATCAATTGGAGCAAGTATTTGTGACATTTTCTCTTTTGAAATCGACCGATACAATTTTGTGAGAAGTACAATTGAATTTTGTTGCCCGAATTGTGTCCTATTGGTTCCCAATCAAATAGAAAGAATCACCTCTGTTACAAATATATGCAGGCTAATATATGGTAGTTTATCAATGAACCTCCTATTGTCCTGATCAACGGTGTAATAATATGTTATTTGGAACCGACCACTTGAGAGTACATGATACCAAAATTGGATATCATTATAGTAAAAAGCCTTCAATTTTACTAGGCACTCTGCATTGTAATCTATCTACGTGACTTAAGATTTGAACGAGGCTTTGATGTATTTTCGTTTTTGGTTTATCTATTATGTTTCAGTTCCTCGTGAGCCTTATCCCTTAAAGAACGATACCTCTCCAGCTCCAGTTCCAGTTCCAGCTCCAGCTCCAGCTCCCTCCATCAATTACTTTGTTGGTATGTAACTTTTACACATGGACATTCCTTTAGATTCATAGCAATTGCTTTGCCTAGTGGATACGGTTTGTTTGGAGGAATAAATTCTCCGTGAATGTCATGCTAACTCTTTTTTTAAGCTGTATATATCAAAGTAAGAAATGATTTAAAATGAAATGTTGTAATATTTATTTCTTGTTTTTTCAGTAATTCACAAGCCTCGCTTATTGGTGGATCATTGGAAGTTTGGTTGTTGGTCTGACTCTGAAATGATTTAAAAATACTGTATTTTTCTATTTTTATCTATGGCGATTTTATTACTTTATTATTTTGATTCAGTACCGTCCATCAAGTGCCTACAATTCCCCATTCTTCACTACAAATTCTGGTGCTCCTATTTATAGCTTATTGAATTTAAGGAGCTCAAGCAGTGGATGCCTTATCTATGTAATGATATTTAATAGTTGCAAAGTACTTAAGAAGTTGAGGCCATCTTGATTGAAACCAATTCAATATTTACGAATGGATGCATCCATTATTTTTTGATAAGAAAACTGAAAATTTAGTTTTTCTTTTATGTTAATAAGAAAATATTATCTGTTTGAATTTATTGGCAGACATTGCACAAGACTCTGCAGCTATTAAATTGAATTGTGAAATTCTAATTATTGGCATTATGATTGAATATGACAGGTTCTTGAATGCTGGAATTTTTGAGAATGGAATAGAGTCTTGTCACACTGCAACATTCAGATTCGAAATTTTGGAAGCTATAACCAAGTTTCTTAACCACAACATCACACTGTGCTTACCCCTCCGTGGCACGATCTCAGCCTCGGGTGATCTTGTTCCGTTGTCCTACATTGCTGGTATGTTGATAGGGTGGCCTAATTCTAAGGCTGTTGGACCCACAGGAGAAACTCTAAATGTCGAGGAAGCCTTTAAACTTGCTGGTGTAGATTTAGGTTTTTTGGAGTTGCAGCCTAAGGAAGGCCTTGCACTAGTTAATTTTCTTTTGTTTGAGAGGAATGTAAGATGTTTATTTGATGGGCAATATGCTAATAAAAAAATTTCTTCAATTTATTATAATGATGTGTTTTGTCTATTGATTAATAAAATAATATCAATTTTACGCAAGCCAATTTTATTTTATTTTATTTTTTATTTTGTCATTGATTTGGTAAACAGCTATACAAATAGGAAAAATAAAAAAATAAAATAATAATAAAATAAAAATTTGTAAATGACGACGTTGCCGTAAACCTTTACGGCAACGTTCAATGAAAGTTGCAGTATCTCTTATTCACAACGTTCATTGAACGTTGTTGTATCTTAACCCTCAACAGCAACGTCAAGGTTTGCAACAGACGCCTGAACGTTGCTGTAGGCCTTTAGCAACATTTTTTGCCCGTTGCGAAAACCTATTTTTGGTGTAGTGTGCTAAGGTTGTCCAACCTTCTCTATGCCAAAGACATTTAGTGTATATATAAGGGATCCAAACTTATACAAAACATACAATATTTTTCCTTGAAAAATGTCCAGAGCCATATTGGTCGTGACTAAACTTAAAACCTTCGCTTGAGCGGAAAATATACTACAGTCAATTTTCTCCTTTTAGTATCTTATCTCAAGAGCGTGCCTTAGATAATTTTTCCTGCAAATTTTTCTTCTATCTCTTCAAGTGTCACTCATTGGTTAACTCTTTTCTTTCCGTTGCACTACAAGAGCTCATATTTTTCTTCATCTTTTCTTGCGTTTATCAAAATTGTATCAAATTTTAAGGTTTTGTCTGATAATTGTATTTTATACACTTATCTCAGTCGTTAAACTAGAACAATTATTATTATTTTAAATGAATTGGAGCTTAATTATATATATATTTTGTTTGTTACATGCATCTCGATAAAAAATAATGAAAGTGGACAAAATGATCGAAAAATTGGCCAAAATGGACAGACTCCAAAGTTTGAAGACTAAGTCGCAAAGTACTAATAGTTGATTCGGACCTAATAACGATGATTGAAGAAAGTGTGAAGTCAATTAGATGAAATTGGAAGATAAATGACCAAGAAAATATCAAAATAAGCTGAAAAATGAATGAAAATTGAAATTGAAAGACCAAAATACAGCAAAAAGAAAAGTTTTACAACCGTGATCGTGCACAGGCCAAATGTCACGTGCTCGCAACACCCTAAGTTCCATTTACCGAGAGGAAACACATCCTACAGCGCACGTGCAGTGAAGTATATTGGGTGTAGGGGGCCATTTTTGGGCCTGAAAAGCCTAGCGCACTTTTTTTAACCTAAACTCTTATAAAAATCAAATTTAACCTACTATTTAACTTACAAGAGATATTTGGAATGGGAAACCACATAATATTCTTATTTTTCACCAAGAGAAAGAGGCTAGCATGGGATTCAAAGGTAATTAACACAACAAATTGAAAATTCGTAGTCCGAGTTGAAGATTTAAGAAGAAGAAGAAATTGATTTTTCACTCTACAATCATTATTTTCAATTCCAAGTGATGTTTTCCAATCTTTTTGTGTGATTTATTAAATAACATGCCAAGTTAATTCTTTTTATGTATTGGATGCGATGAACCATATTGTTTATTTATTTTAATTTAAGACTAGTAGTTTAGTTTAATTCTTGTGTTTCTTGATTAATTTTGCATACACATTCTATTCTTTAATTGATTAGCCACCAATTAAATAATTAATTATTTGTTGTAGTGTTGAGAGACTCACAATAAGTTTAGAACGCGACAAAATTAATGTATGTGCAATAAATATTAGAAATAATATTGATCACTTTTGCAATCATACAGATAATCTAAACTTTAATGCATTCTAATAATTCGAATTCAGGCTAAAAATAGATTTAGGTCGTGGTTAGAATAGATTTAGTTTGTCTTGGAAAAGAAAATTATATATTATAACTTTCTCGATTGTCAATAACGCATGATTTGAACTAGATTATAAATTAAGAATTGAAATAGATAGCAATAAGCAGATTCTACATCCAATACAATCATTCATATTTGATAAAAACCCTAATTTTACCACTTTTTAAAATTAATTTAGAATAATCACAAAATCAAACTCTCTTTTGTTTATATAATTTGAATTCCATACGAAATTAGTAAACTTGAATTGAATTTTAAGTAGACTCCTCTGTGCATTGGGGGGTGTCGGATTATCCCTCTAATCTAAAGGAGACCGACCTGAAAAGACTTAGGATCGAATATAGGATACCTGATAGCATAAACCTGATCCTACCCGAGCTTGACGAGAGGGCCTGCTACCCTAGGCCGGGGTGTGTGGCGATAAGCGAGGCGATTCTTAGGGCTGGCCTTAGGCTTCCAATTCACCCAGCGCTTAGGTCTTATGGCTTAGCATCGACCCAACTCAATCCGAACTCCTGGAGCCAGATGGTGGGCTCTTGGATGTTATGGAAAGAGGCGTCACTGGGAGTGGAGATGCCCTTTTCAGTTTTTCAGACCCTCTATATTCCGAAAGTAACAGTCGAGGGGATAAGACCAGGGGCTGGTATTACCTGACTTCTTGGGGTTTCCATACTCCATTCGTGCTCGATCTGCCGAGCTCCATCAAAGAGTGGAAGAGCTCGTGGTGTTGGGCTGCCAGGAGATGGGACACGATGGAGGGGGACCCCCTGCACCTCTTACGGTCCCCACGAAGTACTCGACATTTAGTGAGTATTATAGATGTATTTTTTCTTTATTCTCTTCGGTTCGGTTTATAACTAACACTCGTATTTATTTTTTGAAGGCACTCTCCCTTGGTGCGAGCTGTCCTCAGACGATTTCGAGATCGTCTGCGTGATCTATTAGCTGCCTCCAAAGAAGAGGTCGATCCATCGGCTGATCAGGAAGAACCTCCATTTTGTGACACACGACCTGATGGCCTCACAAGGTAACGTCTCGAAGCGAAGACTTTTGAAAATTTTCGGGTCGTTTACACTTGTACTAATTTACTTGTTTCTTCCACACATCGGTTGAAGTGGGTTCACTTCGGGCGTAACAATAATAACACAATAAATTTGGTATTCAAGCATTTGCTTATAGACCAAAGTTCAACACTACAACCTAAAAGAAAAAAAGCATGGGGATGACAACGAGATGGATATGATATAGATTAAATATCTTTATTTGCCAGCTCATTTACTTATTTATATATTATTATTTTTGAATATGGTTTAAATTTAAAAATATAAAAATAAAATTCGAAGCAAGTTTGGACACAAACCATATTTCATATCCGCCTAATTTCCCCTATGCGAAGGGACGACATATGGGCAAACCATTTTGCCATCCCTAGAAAACGCTAAGGAGAATTATGTTAGCTACGAAATTAGCCACTGTTTGGCCCCTTTTAAATCTCATCAATTTAAATTAAATTTCTCTCTCTTAATTTTAACCATGCAATCTTTAATAAAATAATATTACATGTAAGTCGGAAACTTTTCATTTTTTTACAATCACTCATTTTATTAAAAAAAATACTATTTGTCTCATTATAATTCAAATTAATAGGGGCCAAATGGGGGAACAAAGAAAGATAGCGGAAAAAATATTAGAAATTCGAATTGATATAAATATTATTATTATTTTTTTTTAACGAGGTGTCCTAACTTGCGCCAGACTATATCCTCGTCCCTGAACCTCCGACCCCTCAACTGTTCAGAAAGGTAAATCGCAAGATGTGCCCTTATTGATTCCCACATAACTTTTACTCCTTTTCTAAGGGAGCCTCCCTCAAAGTGAACCTCCTCCATGTGATTACTCTTCATATAGATATTTCTTTTTCATCACATGTATGGTATTCCTAGTGATCCATTCTCCTCTGTTGCCCAAACCCATTAAAAATCTCGAAGCCTCTGTCTCTTCTTTTCTCAATCGATCAGTAATTCCGAGCAGAGAGAGAATTTCCATTCTTGGCAAGGTAAATCTTTTACTTATCATATGTATTGGGATTTTTCTCTGTTTGGCTAAAAAGATTTAGAAAAATGGGAAATATATTCGTGAAGAAACCGAAGATTACAGAGGTTGATAAAGCCATTCTTTCTCTCAAAACCCAGAGGCGTAAGCTTGCTCAACATCAGGAACAGGTATCCTTATTTGTTTATATGTGCTTGACTATTCTCCGTGAATCTGGTTTTTTTCCTGGGTTATCTATAATGAGTTAGATTGGGTTTCATTGTCAAGTTTGAATCCTGAATATAATATTCAGAAGAATGACCTTAGTCGCAATATAGAGAGGGATTTTGATTTTTCAAAAAAGTGTATCTAAATAATGGGTTTTTATGATGGGTTGACTATTGAGCATTTTCGTCTATAATATGTCTATGTAGATTCTCTATGGGAAGAGCCACAATTGAAGCTCTTGGGGGATTCATTATATGCATTTGACATTATTTAGATTCTAAGGCTAAATAAGGTGGGCTAGTGGCTTGTGTCATGAGATCCTTCTTTCTATTGCCCTGACTTATCACTCTTGCAATGAAAGAAAACCGTAAATTTGCAGTTGTTCTCGTAATTAAAATGTGATGCGAAAGGCAATAAGATGGCAGAGTTATGATCTAAATAAAGCCTAAAATTTTCACGAGAAGACAGAGGAAGAAGTGGAACAAAGAACCAGTGGTCCATCCAATCCATCTCTCTTTCAGTATGGGGAAGGAACAATTACTATTTACTAGATAGTTTCTGATTGAATTTGGATATCCATAACACGGTCACAGTTACTTGAATGGCCAAATTTGCTCATTAATGAATTCGGTACTTTGCATCCTCTCATGTATAATGTGCTTCCGTCCTCTTGTCAATTGCATGATCTGAAGCTTGTCAAATCACCAAAACATCTGCTTAAACTTCCTTCCAAGGATCTTTCCAGTCCTGCATGGGAGTGTTGATAATGTTGCACCAAAGTTCGTATATGACATTTTAAACTTAGTGCTCAGTTCGATTGTATTAATGTGGAGGCGCTTCCAGTGCTTCTCACCATCACCTAAATTATTGCTTGATTGGTTTTCATCACAAACTCACCCCTTTCATCATCTTGTTTGTTTAAACTATCAGCTTCATTCTGCCTATACCTCGTTAATCTTAAGTAGATTTTTGCTTTGCTTCATAGTTTCCTCATGAGGGGAGTGAATGGCTTATATGTCTTTTTCATTAATTTGTGATTCCTCTTTTTAGTGTCTCCATAGCAGCAGAAATATGCTGTGGCCCACCTGAGCCTTTCTATAGGGTATATACTGGGCATGATGTTGATCCTTTTTGATATGCCTAAATATTTCATTTTTATTATCCTAGTTTCTAGAAAATTGTATGCCTGCAGATAAGCTAACTGTCATGCTTCTGTACAAGCATGCATATTTCCCTGTATTTTCCATATGAAATCCTGGTGATGCATCTAAATTTCTTCTCCCTGTCAGAACTCCTGAACTACAAGTTTGTTAAAACATCATAACTCTTTTCCTGGTTTCTCTTTTGTTCCTCATGTTGATGTCAATTTGTACTATATCTGTTTTGATCGTGCAACTTGCGTATAGTGAAAGGTAAAATGATATCACATGCTATAAATACGAGTGTCATAGACTTCTTTTGCATTTGATTAAATGTGAGGAAGTATATGTTATTGAATTGTAATGCAACACTGCTTTATAGTGCTACTTGTTTACTAAATGCTCATCGTATGGTAGATACAGCAATGAATTGTAGTGTACCGAAGTGCAATCTGAATTCTAAATTTTGAAAGAGAAAAGATGATGTATCATTTGTATACTGCTAAATACGTCGCTTCATTTCTAAATTTTGGGAAATGGTGTATCATATAATTTCAGTATCAAAATTGTATCACATAAAAAGAGAAAGAAGATATAATTGATGTGTTCTTTTGAGATTCCTAATATGATATTAAGGGCCTGTTTTGCCTGGCTTTTGAAAAGTCGAAATGAGCTTTTGAGACCTAAAAGCAGCTGTTGGACCTTTTGGCTAATTTTATAAAATTGTTTTTTCTAGTTAGAAGAGTTTTTAGAGGAAGTTGGTCCAATGTGGCTTCCTCTAAAAGCACTTTTAGAATAGAAGGCTCTTTTAAAAATTAATTTCAAAACAAAAATTAAGATGGCTTCCTCTAAAAGCTCTTTTACAAGGAGCAAAATTAAAAGTCATGTCAAATGGGCCCTAACTATAGATCACTATCCGTGGTGGCATTCTTATATTAGTCTATGTTTGACTTATGTTTATAAATACTCAAGCCATTTTATATCCACTTATTTGAGGACATACAATTACTAGCCACTTATCCACCACTCATTTATATATTGACAATTAAACCATTTAAAAATACTTCCGAAACATGCTTTTAGTCATTTCCATCATCTACTTTTTTCAGTTGGAGGCTGTCATTGAAGCCGAGAAACAAGCTGCAAAAGACTTGGTTCGGGAAAAGAAGAAAGATAGAGCTTTATTGGCTTTGAAGAAAAAGAAGGTTCAGGAAGACTTACTGAAGCAAGTTGATGCTTGGCTCATCAATGTTGAGCAGCAAGTAAGTTAACTTGATTTTGTTGTCTTCATCATTCTTCATTTATTGTCTTTTCTACTGCATGTCTTCATGTGTTGTTTGTAAAGCATTTTATTCAGTTATATGTATCCTGTATATATCAGAGTGCTTGATTATCAAAGTGTTTTAGTTGGCAGATGTTGAACTGGCTAGCAAGCAGAAGGCAGTGTTTGAGAGTTTGAAGGCAGGAAATAATGCTGTTAAAGCAATACAAAGTGAGATCAATCTAGATGATGTTCAAAAACTGATGGATGATACTGCTGAGGCCAAAGCTTATCAAGATGTAAGTTTCGTGTTGATTTCTTCTTTCTTTCTGTTAATAGTTAGATCTATGCAATATTGGTTGCTTAACAGTTTATTTGGCAATATTTATCCATTAATCCTGTGAATCAAATTCCTTAGATCCTTACTTGACTTTACTTTTTAAAGATATTGGTATCTAGAAACCTTTTTCCCCTATTTGTGCATCTGTCTTAGCCATTATTGGTGTGAACAACAATATTCTGTAATCTGAGAACGTTGTGTTGTGTAAAACATCTTATATAGTAAACTTTCTAAAGATCTTTTGCGGTTGGATAAATTTGGAAAAATAAAAATAAAGCATCGAATAGAAATCACTCACCCTTTGGTTAATATATACAAAGTTGTGTTCTAAAAGGCGCACTAGCTCCTAGACGGGAAAAGTCAGTCAACTCTATGTCGACTGTCTAAGGCCCAACTAGGTGAAAAAAAGCGTGCTCCGTCATGTTTAGAATGTGGTATTTTCTTGTTCTGAAATTAAGCACAACAAAATGTTCAATAATTGCTAAAAATTGAAAACGAAATAAATTCCAACGATAAAAGGCGTGCTCCTTCATGTTTAGAATGTGGTACTTTCTTGTTCTGAAATTAAGCGCAACAAAATGTTCAATAATTGCTAAAAATTGAAAACGAAATAAATTCCAACGATAAAAGGCGTGCTCCTTCATGTTTAGAATGTGGTACTTTCTTGTTCTGAAATTAAGCGCAACAAAATGTTCAATAATTGCTAAAAATTGAAAAGGAAATAAATTCCAACGAAAAACCACCCCATCTCATGTACGTAGCTTTCTTTGGCCACGAACAAAGCATTACTAATTTGGGGGTATTTATGATTTTGAGAATTATGTTTTTGTTATAAACTTGAATAATATGTATATTGCTACTATAAATTCAAGTTATACGTTATTTTATTTATTTATTGGTCTAGAATAATTAAAACAATATTAAAAATAAGAAAACACCTTTGTATGCTATTGAAGCTTGACTTCCATGCCTTGCCACGCCTTATGCATTTTAAAAGCTATTACAAAGTATGCTTATGATTGTACCATGTCATTAAAAAAGAAAATACTCAGTGTAAACTTGGTAAGTCAAACACTGCTTTTATAACAAAAGACAAATTCAGGTTAAGTAGCTTGTCTTCGCTATCAGACTCGTCATTGAATACTGCCTTCCACAGGCACAGAAACATCAGAGCCGTCTTTAGCATATTAACATTTCCATAGTGGGCTGCAGGAAAGTGAAGTAGAAGTGCATGAATGAACCAATGTTAAATATTTTACTCATTATTTGGGATTGGATTATATCATTTCCTTTTGACGTTTCCAGGAAATTTGGTGCTCTTTCTATGGGACTTCTATTTCTTTTTTTTTTCCTCTGCTTCTCATGATTATGTGTTTCCTCTAACACTAATCCCCTCTCACTAATGAGTATTCCGCTGGTTAATATCAAATTTAGTATGCAGCTTGCAGCATCACAAACAAAAATAACAACACCAGCTATGTGTTGTTAACAATAAAGTGATATCAACATCAACTTACAATGAAATTGTTTTATAAAGGCCGTTCTCTAACTTTTCCCTCTATATTTGTGTGCAATATATTTTACAGGAGATCAATGAAATTTTGGGAGAGAAATTATCAGCAGAGGACGAAGAGGAAATTTTGGCAGAATTTGAAAATCTCGAGACTGAGGTCTGTTCTTTTTTATATGAACAATTTACTCTATAGCTTCTAATTTTTCCTGTTATGAGATTGATCAATGTGCTTCAACTTACATGTTCTGCTTGGTTTTCATGCACTTATCTATGAAAAAAGCTGACAGTAATAGCATTATGAACTAGGGTGTATATAATTTCCAAATGACTACCGTGTGTGCTCAATTTATCTATCTGACAAACAGGTAGTCATGTGAAACAAAGATATATTTTATAAATGCGGTACCTCCCAATCTGTTTAGGAAACATTGTTAAAACATTCTTGCATAACCTGGTTGTAATCCTACAATGAGTTTCAGAAATGAGGTTTGATGGTGGGGGAGGGAAGTGGAAGAAAGATAATTATCTCTTTCTAATCATGATGTACAGTCCCATATGCATAGGCTTATTTAGCCCCTGTTTGACATCCTTAAATTTAAAAAATTTGTTTTGAATATTATTTTTTGGAGAATGTATGGTTAAAAAGTAAGTAAAAGTTTTGGGTTTACGTGTAGAATATTTTATTGTATGAATGTGTGGTTGAAAATGAGTATGAGAAATAAATTAAATCAAAGGATGTCAAACTGGGGCTTAATCTCCATTCCTGTTATTGTTATTCATTAGTTTTCTTTATTTTAACTCGTGGGGTTCAAATCCTAGATTCAGCCACCACGAGTAGGAATAGTGTTTAGTTGTTACTTAAGCAAGATCTTTCCTTATTGTGGTCAAAGCCATTATTTGGCTTCCATTATTGAGGAAGAAGCCTTGCATTCAACATGTTTATTTTTTTCTTTAAAAAACAACAAATATTGCACTGATGGTCTAATTGACCAAGATAAGTCTGTTGAAACAAACAATGTGGGACTGGGGGCTCTAAAAATAAGGACTTGCACGGTCATATGGGCACCCTCCCTCACTTGCACTTCAGTTTCATCTTGTTCTTTTATAAAAGGGTTATGGCACGACAGTCGTGTAAAAAGATGGTTTCCACAAAAGAGATTGGGACATTCTTTTCAACCACACATCATTCCAAATAAAAAGGGCTAGAGAAGATTTCTTGCTCCATTATTGCATTTATCACACCAGAATTTCCCTCTCGTTCTTGTTCCATAATGTGGCCTCTCAAAGCCTATGTTTGGCTCATGTTCTATAAACCCTCGAGCCACTTTTCATTCACATATTTCAATGAATCCACAAGTACTACCTAGTTATTTACCCACTCGTTTCTATCTATTTATAACTTAAACCATTTACAAACCCTTCCCAATTGTGAGGGAGACGTTACATTGCATTCTACATGTTTGCATTATAGAGTTTTCTATTTAGAACTGATAAGATATGAGCTATTTAGAACTTTTTAAAACCTCCATGTAAGTTCTATTAAGCTTTTAAGTTCTAAGTAAGCAGCTTTAGAGTAGTGAAGCTTTAGTTTCTCTATTAGTTTTTGCGGCAAAGATTGTGTGAGTGTTCAATCATGCTTCGGATGCTTCGCCATAGAATAGATCGACCCAGTTCCCCTTCCGCTTTGCCTGACACCTAGATATATCTATATTGTACTTCTAATCTCTTTTCTCTTGACCTATCGATTATTTCTTCCGCTGGTTTTTTGTCTTATGTATGAAAATAGGGTCATATGATATATGCATCCCATAAAACAGAAACCATCAATAATCAAATTAAAGAACGTATGGTTTTGTACAGTTAACCCTTCAAGATCTGCCAAAAGTTCCTTATGAGGCACCGGCTACTGAAGAACAAAAAGAGAAGTTGGATCTTCCTGATGTTCCAACTAAAGCACCAGTCATTCCCGAGGCGGTGGCTGATTCTGGACCCAGAAAAGGTCTCTATCCCTCAAACGGGTTTCTTGGAAGAATTTAAGAGATTGTTTAATTCCCACAACTTTTTTGACATTTTATTTTCCATGTGTGCAGTTATGGAGGAACCATTACCGGCTTGATGTGGAACCAGTAGTGTCACTGCAACTTGCACCCATATGCCGCATTTTAGTCGTGTTTCAATATTTATTTGAAATTTGAAAAATCGAACTAACTTGTGTAAATTATTGTGAAGTTTCATGGTGACAGTATTTACCTATCGTATAGTGTACAGTAGATTAGAGTTTATTTTGGTTAACGAACGACTCCTTTCATAGATTCACTGTGTTATGCGACTTAAAGTTTGGAGGTGTCAAAGTTATGTAACTTCCTACTTGAATTCTTGAATTTGAAGTTCTTTCCATGTTCTTTTTTCTTGCAAGCACTTAAACTTATTTCTTGTCACAAGGACCCATCGTATTCGAGATTGTTCGAGATTATTACGGGTGTCTCATTATGCCATCTTGATGATTCTTCACCTTGAAATTGTCTATGTAAACTAGACTTTTTACCACTGGTGTGTTTCTCTACTCTTGGTTCACGTATTAATCTAAGAATTTTGCTGCTTTGCCCGAATTTGTGCCTGAATGATTGACATACTCTCACATGTCGTAGGTCCCGCATGAATAAAAAATTTCAAAAAAAGAAAAGAAAAGTAGGCCATCCGTTGTGAGAGTTGGTTACTCCCTCTGTCAAAAAAATTCGATCACTGTAGCGGAATTATAATCTAATGTCCGAATCTGATGTCATTTTTTATACCCAAAAGTGTTAGTAGATCACATGCCATGGCATAACTCACGGATGTGTATATATTTATCTCACCCCACACACTTCCGCACATTGCACGTACAATGCTCGAAATTAAGAATAGGTCATATATGACACGCTAAAAAAGAGAAATTAATTCTTGTTTATTGTCCAGATTAGTTTTATTTAATAGTGTATCAAACGTCGGAGAAGTAAGCGGATAATCTTCATGGGAAAATGCTAAACCAGACCGTGGACAAGTTTGCCCCCAGGAACTCATCAAATTTTTAGTTCAACATACTACCATCAACCACTTGAATTTAAATTCTTTACGCTCTCACGTGAATCTCAAGGGATTTCGGCATCCCATTTACGCATGCAACTGTAAAAACATTAATAAAAATAAAAAACACGAGTTCAATAAAAAAGAATCAATATTTATTGGGGGAAGGGAAAAGTAAATTTCAGCGAATTATCTGCGCAGATGCGCATTGAACATTGAAAGCCATTATCATTCTGATAAACAAGATATGAATGTGCTCCCGTTTTGCAGTTTCTCTTTTCTGGGTAGACAAAAAAGCGTCAAATCTGTGCATTCTAATCTAGACGGACTTCACTTGTTGAACAACGTAAGGACAAATTAATAATACTTTAGACTTTACTTAATCCAGATAAAAGAGAGTGACAATCTTCCTCATATTTTTCGCTTCTTGACATGTTTCCATGAGCAATCTACTGTCATGAAATGCAAAGCAAATAACTTGTTGTACTTGTGAGATGATGTCCATGTTGCACAGCCTGCATTCACCATCACAAGCAGTTAAAAAGTATATTCGCTACTATTGACAGGGGTAGAGCATGCTCGACTAAGCTTAAAACTAACTCGAAACGTGTTTGATAATTTACATTTTCAGCTATGATTTAATATATATTGCACCAATAAGTTCATCCTGATTACAGAATGAGTGACGATTTTTTTTTGGAAATTCCACAACCCAGCGTAAGTCAGTAACCCAGTTTCATATCATCCACTCAAAAGTTCGGCCAAGCAGCTAAAAATACGTGACAAAAGAGACAAAGAAAATGCTTTCCCAGAGGGCTTTATTGGGTACCTGCTAGCTTCTATCAATGGGAGATGATCATTGTGGGGCTTCTCCATTACATTTTTTACCTGCAAATCCAAGAAGAATTTTATTGCTTAGAATTGGATAATACTGGGTTTCAGTGACCCCACCCTTTTCACGGGACACAAAAGTCCAACCCCTCCTGCTTCCTTCTTCCTGTCTTTCTGAGTAGCATTGTGCTATAGTTAAAACATCCACTGGCACCCTGCCTAAAATGGAGGCAACAATACAAGTACTACATCCAAAGATGAACATACTTGAATATGTTCAAATCTTAATTTGATCTTGACAGAATATTAGAATAATTGGTGAAAAATCCCTTTAAGAGAAAAGACAGACAGGCAAAAAACACACTCAAAGGACTAATATCAGCAACAGTGTATCCAACTGAAGGAAGAAGTAATCAAACATGGCAAAAAATTTATGTTCGTGCAAAAAGAGGTCTAAAATCATTTATAATGTAATAATAAAGTGCATATTCACATTTTTATTTTTATATCAAATCTCAGCAGGTTAATAATTCACACTAAAACCCAGAAGATATATTCATAGTGTGTTTAGAATGGTCAAGAAGAAGACTATTTTTGGAGTAAAACCACCATATTTAGATGTTTCCTATCATGATTCTGTGAAATCAAATCTCAGAATGCTCTCAATTCTTTCCATTCCATGGAATATTTCTGAAACAGCAATTGTTGGGATGATAAATGAAGAATTTATTATGGATAAATTTGAACCGAGGAGGGCAACATGTTATTGTTTATAAGAGAACTGAAAAGTGGACATTCAAGCAAAATCATGCTCAAGTTGCGTTGGATTTTTGCATTTAACAAAATCCCTAGATTTGATGGCAAAAGAATTAATTAACAGGAGTAAAAGCTTTCCCAAATATAGATAGAAACACTCTCAACAAATCCCAAGCAATAGCGCAATGAATAAAAGATGGAATGTGCCCCTATTTGACCAACTCAATACACAAACATAAAGAGACAAAGCATTATGAGGAGTATACTTCTGCAACAACTCCTTTGTTTATTCAGATAAGCACTAAATACCAAATGAATGCATACTCCTAAACCCATGAATTATTTTGGAATTTGGCTTACTAGGGAGCTTGAATGACTATTTTGGGTAAAAAGTAGTATACAATTTATATTAGTATCTTGTTAATTAGATTCGCTGTCATCATAATTTTACACACAATTTCCTGCATTCTTTTTGTAGAGTTTGGAAATGTAAATTTGTTAAAATATCATAAAAATGTCATCTGAATACTATCCTGTGTCAAACCATGCTTTTGTGTCATTACTGTGATTGCAAATAGGTTTCTCTCAGCTTTCTCCCTCTCAGACAAGGGGAAATTAATAAATGCCATTTAATATAATAGTGCATAGCCACCTCAATACAAAGCTGAAACATAAAAATATCTTTTCCTAATATTCTTTTGCACCCATTACTTCTGTGATAAACTTCAAAATAGGTTCTGAATTACCCATTAAACGCCATAAATAGGAAAAGAAATGGACCACAGATCAGTTTTCACCTCACAGTGTCAAAGCAGTGACCACTTCCTAAGGTAAGGTGGTTTCAAGTACTTCACCAAGAAAACAGCAACTCTTTAGGATGAAGTAGTAAACAACTGTCCTGCCATTGCCATTGCATATTGTACATTTATGGTAGGGAAAAAATGAGGAAAAAAGAGCTCAAGATTGCAAGTCAAATTCTAAGCTGGTTTCCTATGAATACATCCTTGAAATGGCTTGGTGAAATATTTTGAAAGAAAGTAAAGATAACAGTTTTAGTGAAAATCATGGCTTCAATCATAATCACACGTCATACATTTATGATTTGGTAAAACACATAGGATGAAGTTTCAAGATTTCAACTCAAATTATATAGTTATTTATTTCCTTGTCTTGCTGAATGGTGTTGTGCTTTGGTCAGAAGGCTTGGTTACATCATAATCCACCACCCTTAAACACCCTTGCACAATGGGAAACCATAAGCACTTAGGCTCTTCGCCTCAGCCTTAAGCAGATAGCAGTTGGGAAAACAGAAAGACTGGTTCAAGGTTTAGAGCAAACTAAGTGTAGAGCAACAAGCGTCAAAATGAATCACATGCCATATGTTTGTCTGAAAAAATTAATAATCAGAACTAAAAAAGTTTGTGTGATCCCCCAATTCTTACTTTAGAAAGTAATTCTTGACTCTCTGGAGGTTGTTTTTTCAAACTTTGTGGCAATATTACAGTGAGCAGCTCTGGTTTTTCAGCACGAAGGGCACCTCTAATAACAGCAGCATTAGTACCTGAAGCTCCTGATGTAAAAATATGATTTTTCTGCAAAAAAATTGAAAAGATAGCCAGGACGTCAAGAGATGAGTAGTCATCAAATAATTGGGAAAATAAGGTTTATTGAACCAAAAAATAATCCAGGCACCACATGAAGTACTTTTTGATGAATCAATTAAAATGGAATTAATACCGTTATAACCAATGCATAGCTGAGAATCTCAATAAGTTCTTGGTGCATGAACCCCATATTTCGAGTCCCAAAAAAGCCAATTGCTCTTGGCCCTTGTTGTTGAATCGCTAATAGCTCCTGACAGACAACAAAAGCAAAACGACATGTGTTGTCATATGTTCTATAGATGCACACGTTAAAAATCCAACCGCAAATTATACCTTGATATTCAAAGCATTTGACTTAATGTTTTGGCCTTTAGACAGATTAACAACCAAGACAATGTGTTTTGCCTCTTCCGTTCTAAGATAGAGCCTAAGACTTGAACTTTAAGGATTTAAACAATATTAAAAATAACATAAATGCAGCACCATGGAAGAGAATATGAGAGAGTTTGTTAAGATTAGTTGAATACGTTCAAAATATGATGAGAACTAACTTAAGTAGCAGCAAAGAGAAAGACAAAAACATGGAGGTATTTGAAGTGCCTTGCAAGAGAAAATAGAACCCACCACTGAAGAGAAAACTCTTTTAGTTGATTTAATAACTCTTTCAATTGGTTTGATAAGAAAACATTGCTGTTGGATGTGCAGTCACAGTATTCCTTATATGATAAATGTTGATTGCTTGAATGAAAATAGAAAATAGACAGTCAAGACAATGTGTGCACCTAAAGTAAATAAGTACTCAAGATAACAATTGACTGAATTGAGGGAATCAACTCCTCCAACGAATTGGTCTAAACTTTCGAATGCATGTTCAGATTTAGCTTTGGTATACGAACAACAAACCTGTAGATAGTCCATATCTGAAACAGGCTTATACTCCGATACCATAACTGCTCCTGACCCTTCAACGAGAGATTGGGCTTGGGTTGGAATCTGAGTTTTGACTTCTTCATCAGAACCAAACATCTGTATCTCATTCTTGTCCCCATCTCTCAGGTTGTCTAAGCTTTGATGTCTTTTCTCACATCCACATAGCCACTATACCAGCACATAGAAAACAGAGGCCCCTGGTAGTAAATCATTAGTGAAAACCAACTGATATGTGAAAATTTATATTTAAGACAGGTATTGTTTGGAAGATCAGCCATCGCATGAAAAGTTACAACAGTCTAAGTAGAGAAAAGATGTTGCAATCATTACGAAAAAACTATAAACACTAGCCGAAGAGATATTTATGCCCAAGTTTCTTCCTTCCATTTTTTTAATTTATTTTTGTAACATAATTTAAAATATGTCTAATTTTTTTTATTTTGGTTTCACATTCACGACCTCAACACATTTACAATAGACTGGATAATATGATCTTATAAATTGATTTAGTTTGCAATTAAGACATATGCTAGTCAATGATCATTGATTCATTAATATCTTGCAGACAAATGTACACAAAATTGGCTACCATGAGGCTGCAAAGCAATCCTAATTTCTTACAGAAACTCATAAAGGGCTAGACTGAATAGCTGCTAATCACAAAATCTAGGTTTCTTCAAGCTTAGTCTTATCACTTCAGCTATAAGATAACCCGTTTCTAGCACACCCATCAATTTAACTAATGTTAGAGAGAACTAAGACAAAAGGTTCTCCAAGCCTTGCATTAGATCAGATCATTAATGAGATCTTAATAAACATACCCTATTTTTACAGATACCAGTTTGTTTGCATAGGCACTCTCTTTGTAAAGCCAAGTCCAGATTGTAGTCATTTCTAAGTCCCCCAATTGGTGTAGTACCACTGGAGACAAGCCAGCTCCCAAGACATAGAGCACAAAGGGCTCTCCCACTCACAAGCAGTAAGCAGTTGAGTTGTATGACCCACCTTGTTTTCCATGAGAATGGAGGCTAAGATCATCCAAGAATCACCATAAGTGGTCAATCTCAATCCAAAATCAAGACAAATATCCATTTCAGAATTGTAGTAATTCAGAGATTTGAGACCCATGTCTAATGGCAAAATGGAAATGCTAGAGGCTGCCGATCTGATTCAGCTTTACGATCACTAAGCAAACATACTCGTACAACACCTTAAAAAAAAAATTTAGTGACTTCAAATTGCTACTACTAGTGTGAAAAATAAGTAATGTTTGGTTGCCTCTAATTTTTATTAGTAAAAGAGACAAGATAGGGACCAAAGGAGGCATTTCACCCAAAAAAAAGGAAAAGAAAAAAAGACGCCGTTTTTCGCATTATCACAGCTTATCAGATCTAACCCTGTACACTCAAACTTCCATTTATCTCCTGACTTTCCAACACTTTAACCTATCATTTACACCTATTGCCCCAAGTCAGGTTGCTTTCAGCATAAAATCTTTTCTCTTTATTTTTTCTGTCAGTGAATCTTGTTAAAATCATCAATTATAAAGCTTTTTCTGCTTATGAAGCTAAACACCTGGTTTTTTTGGAACTTCATATAACCTTGTATCCCGATTTGAGTAAATCTTATATTTATTTACGAATCCTTAAGGTTTTGGAGTGAAAATTTTCCTCTCTTTCTGGTCTGATGAGAAATATTCTCAAAAGAATTATTTTTACAATTCAATAGTTTCCATCAAATTATTCAAATCTGCACGACAAATTACATATTTAAAATACCAAATTTACCAATTACTAATTTTTTCTTCTGTGAATAACATCTAATGCCCATTGCATATGACTCTCCGAATTTACCTAGACGGCCATTTGATGTCACATCGTATTTAACAGAACATCTTCTCCGTTCACATTTATCTCGCACTGATGTACTTTTCACCTCTCATTTAAGTACCAGCTCGGAATAGAAGCAGCGGAATCTTTAAGATTTCCCTATTTTACTCCTATTTATGTAACTTTACAGATGCCAAATGCCCATTTGTCACTAAGAACCAAGAACAAAAGAAAAACCAAGAAACAATGCAGGGGATATATCTTGGGAACCGAGATATTATGGAAAATAAAAAAACAAAATACAATCTATAATTTCTGATCCATATCATGAGCTAATTCAGTCGATTGCGAGTTTATGCATCTATAAAAATTACAAGCATTCACAGCACAATCTAATTATGTAAATTCCAAGACAAGACTTATGTAGGGATGACAATCCCATACTTCTCACTCTCAAAAAATTGCACCTCGTTCTTTATATATAATTCCATCCAGTTCTTTTTCTAAATACAACAATTCACATTGCAGCGAATTTTCTTCCTCAGGTGATAACGTGATTTAAACTCATTTTAGTGGATCCATCAGATTGAATGATATCCAATAAAAACTAACAATTTTGCAAATAACAATGAACGAAAACCTAAAATATAAACAGAAGCACCAAAATTGAGACACCCATAATGCGGCATAAAATAATAACAAAATACAATTTAAATCCCTCAAGCTCAAAATAATTCTTCTTCAAACATCAAATTACAAAGACCCATTTCCCCAACTAATTATACTACGAAAAACAAACAAAAATCCACATATATAAACAAACATACAGAAAGAAAAAAAAAATTACCCGGTTTCTCCGCAGAGGAGAGCGTTGTGAAGAAGCGAACCTTGGGTCATTCCGTGAAGAAAGGGACTGAAAAGGGCTAAAACTACAGGCAGATGTTGTTGTGATAACAGTAGAAAAGTGAGAAAGTTTGAAGGAATCAAAATGCATCAATGAGGGCGTTGTCATTTCCCTCTATCTTAGTCGCACTTTTCTTGAAATAATTTATACACACTACAGAGTAAAATCCCTTTTCCACACTGCAATTCTACTGCTACTTGTAGTTTTAATTGGTTGGTTTACAGTTCTCTACTGAATCTATTTCTGGGCATATTTTCTTGAAATCTCTTTTTTTCGTAAGAGAGAGCCTGTGGTTGATGATAGACTGGAGTGGAATTTGATGAGAAGGGGGGATCCTTTTTTATTGACTAACGCCTATTTATTATCGTAACTATGGAACACGGGCGACGTTATCTCTCCCATTTTTCTCCATTTATCAATGTTTGAAAAATCTACCGACCATCAACTCGAAAAAGAAAAGGGTCAAGGATCAAAAGTTCGAATCGGGTCGAACCGAAATCCACCCGTTTTTTTTATTATTAATTTTACAAAAAAACAGCAAATGAAAACAAGTTTTTCGAAATCACAAAAACTATAACAAGCATTCAATTAATAAAAATAATTAAATACAATCAACAAAATAACGTCCTGCTCAATCCAATTACGTAATGTAAGATAAGTTCATAAAATTAGGTAATTAACAATGTCAACTCTCACGAGTTAATTAGGATAAGTTTGAAGGTCTGAAAATTCATTAATTTTGAATCTCGAAAACTCAGCATGGAAGAATGAGGAGAAGTTTGAAAGTCTAAAAATATTAAAAAATAAGGGTTTTAATTGTTTTAAAATTCATTAATTTTGAACCAGAAAAATCGTGAAAACCAGGGGCGGGTCAAAGTTTTTATAAAACCCGGGTGGGTTACCGATTTTAAAGGCGGTTTTTAAATTTAAGGTTCTCAAGGCCTAACCGACCCGAATTTGGTCCTAGTTCCCGGTTTATCCGGTTGAACCGGCCGAATCGGGTCGGTTTTTACAACACTGCTATTTATATCACATCTCCTCCCCTCGTAAACATTGAACTATCCAATTTCATTATTCCACATAAATTTCATTATCATAATGATAAATAGTATTATTTTTTTTTATTTGGTCCTTTTTGCTTGCTTTTTGTTATATATTGAGTATTGGAAAAAGAAATGTAAATTAATAATTTTTATTTTTTTACTTTTACTTTTATTTCAAAATATTATGTGAAATAAATATCAAACATATAAGTAGGAATATCAACGAGCTGAATCGGCTTGCAAGCCAAAACTCGAGGCTTGAGCAAAATTAAAACAATTTTTTCTGTCCGAATCGAGCTGAGCAAAAGTTTGGCCAAAAATTTGAGGCTCAACCTGAGCTTTCGAATCTGGCCATACCGAGTCGAGCCAACTTATTATTATTATTATTATTATTATTATTTGGTTTTCATTAAAAGGCAGCTTACTGCCTCTTTTGTTTATTTTATTATTATTATTATTATTTTTAACGAGCCAATCCGACGATCCATCGGCCTGCTCGAGCTCGACCTGTCACCCCAACAAGAAGTTGATGGAGTTGGAACAAGAAGTTCCAGTAGAATGCGATGAAAAGTGAAGAGAGAACACAACATTTAAGGAATTCGCAACATTAATTCAAGCCGTTCTTAAACTCCACCAAAAGCATTAAAACATCATCCACAATGGTGAAGAGGATAAGAAACAAATAATCGCATTGTCTAACAGCTAATCGACACGAGGAATAGGGATTCGGTAGTAATTAATACACATTTAGCTAAGGAAGGAAAATGAGCATGGGCAATTGATCTTTATTAATCTATTCACTTGGGTACATCCACTTTAATAACAAAGAATCTGTCCTGGTTTCATTTGGATTACCAAAAGGATCTTCTTTGCATGCCCCAGGGAAGATTACATTTCTGAACTCCAATTCAAGCATAAAATCGATGCTGATGGACTGAAATGGCGAGATTCAGACCAAATAATGTCGAAATCCCAAATTGATTGAGTAAAGATTGTCTTTTATTCCAATTACCATAGATAAGATATTGTGATTTATTATAATTGTAGGAGATTTATTTTTTATTTTTTCCTTTTCCATGTATTCTGCTTGTACTATAAAAGGACCAACTCACTGTACATTATTTGTGAGAAAAAATAAAAGTTCTCTCCCGAGTTTTATTTTCATGGTATCAGAGCCATACCTATAGAAATAGACGCTAAATCTTCAATTCTCGGTGTCAATAACTCTGTTTTGACGGTTCTCTTGCAAGTTTCAAGGTCAATCAGTGTCTGGTCGACGACACCGTCCTTTGCCTGCCTCCGCCTCGGTGGTTGGAGTTTTGCATCAGAATTTTTGACGTCTGTTGGTGTTCGACGCAATTTTCAGCGTCTCTCTGGGTGTATTGACGCGACTTCCAATGTCTCTTGAGCAATAAGAGGATATTCCAACTCTCCTCTGACTGCATTCGATGCTATTCCGACATCACTGTGGGCTCGCATCTTTGTGGGTATTACCGTGACTGATTTTGGTGAACCACTGTTGGATTTTGGGCTAGTATTTGTTGGGCCTAAGTTAGTTTGGGCCATTGTATTATTCTTCTTCTTGGTGGATTAAATTTATTTGGGCTAATTTTCACCATGCCATCAGAGATATCATGTTCATTGGCCCGCAAATGTAATTTCTTTAGAGCCCGAAATTTTACTGCACTCGCTAAAGTGCCATGGATGATTAACTCAGGGGCATTCGATCATATGACAAGCTCTTACAATTTGTTTGTTACATACTCACTACGTGCGAGTAATCTTAAAGTTAAGATTGCAGATGATTCTCTCTCGACAATTGCAGGAAAATGGAGTATTCAAATTTCTGACTCTATAACTTTAGAATCGGTCCTTCATGTTCCAAATTTATCGTACAATTTATTATCTATAAGCCAGCTAACAAAAACTTCCAATTGCTCCGTTAAATTCTTTCCATCACATTGTATTTTTCAGGACCTATAATCGAGGGGAAAACGATTGGTAGTGCTAAAGAAAGTGAAGGACTCTACTACTTTGAGAAAGTTGATGTGAGTAACCAGTGTCAACTTAAAATTTGTGATTCTGTATCTGTTCTTAGTGATTGTGAAATTATGTTATGGCATTTTAGAATGGGTCATTCGAACTTTCAATATTTGAAACATGTATTGCCCTCTATTTTCATAAATAAAAAGCAAGTTAATTTTCAATGTGAAATCCGTGAACTTGCAAAGCACCAACACACATCATTCCCACAATCCACATACAAAACATCAAAACCATTCACCATGATTCACAGCGATGTATGGGGACCCTCACAAATCTCAATTTGTACCCACACAAAATGGTTTGCCACTTTTATTGATGATTACACTCAATTTAGTTGGATCTACCTACTCAAAGATAAATTCGATTCCGTCCCATGTTTATCAACTTTCATTCCATGATCCAAACACAATTTCAAACATAAATTCAAATCTTACACACTGATAATGACACAAAATACTTCAATATCATCATGGGTGACTTCCTTCAAAAACATAGAATAATTCATCAAAGTTTTTATGTTGACACTCCTCAACAAAATGGGAAGCAGAACGCAAAAATAGGCATCTCCTAGAGGTTGCTCGTGCTTTAATGTTTACTATGAATATGCCTAAGATGTTGTGAGGGATGCTATCCTCACATCCACCTATTTTATCAATCGAATGCCCAATCGTGTCCTAAACTTCGAGACACCAATCCAAAAATTTAAGAAATACTTCCCGATTCAGCTCTAATCTATCCCTAAGAGTGTTTGGCTGTACTACATTCGTTCATATTCACTCTCATCACCAAAGTAAACTGGATCCCCGAGCTATTCAATGTGTTTTGATTGGATATTCTCTTACACAAAAGGGCTACAAATGCTATGACCACGAAAAAAATCTTTGTAAATCTTGACATTACCTTTTTCGAAAATACTCCATACTTTACCAACACCCCTCTTTAGGGGGAGACCTTGCATGAAGATTGGTTCATTGACCTCAGTCCCTCTTCTCCTGAACGTGTCCCACCATCTGAGTCTACTACACCAATGACAGAAGGGAACTTGAACACAGGGGAAGCTGTAGAAAAACAAAATGATAAGGAGATACTGGTTTATTTAAGAAAGCCAAATCAAAGAACTTGGAAAATCTTACATCTGAAACACCTAAAGAGTCAGAACCGATGGTAGCTCAGAACCTTAGAAAGCCCTAGAGATGTTGAATACGAATTTACCCATTGCTATCAGAAAACAAACACGGTCATGTACTCTCCATCATATTTCAAAATTCTTATCATATAATACTTTATCTACGGGATTTTGTGCTTTTACCACTCATCTTAACAGTACAGTGATCCCAAGAACTATTTAGTAAGCTTTGGAAATTCAAAAATGGAGAGAAGCAGTTTTGAAAGAAACGCAAGCTTTGGAAAAAATGAGACCTAGGAAGTGATGGATCTGTCAAAAGGAAAGAAACTCGTTGGATATAAATATGTCTAGAACGAGAAAGTAGAGGCAAAGAAGGAGATATATCAAAAAGTAAAAGCATCTTTAACTTGAAATACAAAGTTGATGGGACAATAGAATGGTATAAAGCTCGGTTGGTTGCAAAATGATACATATAGACTTAGGCATTGACTATACAGAAACATTTGCACCAGTAGCAAAATTGAATACAATTCAGGCTCTTCTATCACTAGCTGCAAATTTAGATTGACCACTTCAGCAACTGGATATTAAAAATACTTTCTTAAATGGGGAATTGGAAGAAGAAGTATTCATGACATTACCACCAGGATATTGTAAGGTAAATTAAAGAAATCGGGCATGTAAGCTAAAAAAGTCCTTATACGGATTGAAGCAGTCAACAAGAGCATAGTTTGATAGGTTTGCGAAAGTACTGAAAAGCCAGGGATATCGCCAAAGGCAGTCAGATCACACCATGTTTCTTCGACCATTTGAAAATGGTAAAAAAATGATTCTAATAGTATATGTCGATGATATTATTTTGATAGGTGATAATATAGTTGAAATGGAAAGACTAAAGAGAAGCCTTGCCACTGAATTTGAGGTAAAGGATTTGGGACTAATGCGATACTTTCTAAGAATGGAAGTTGCCAGATCTAGATGAGGCATCAGTGTATCTCAATGAAAGTATGTTCTTGATCTTTTAATCAAAATCGGCATGCTTGGATGCAAACCAAGTGATACACTCGTGGATGTGGGAAGGAAAAATGAAGATGGAGAAAAGCCAGTAGAAATTTAAAGATATCAAAGATTGGTTTGAAAGCTAATCTACCTATCACACACTAGATTTGACATCGCATTTGCAGTTAGCTTGGTAAGTCAACACATGCATCCTGGAAGAAAAGTCACCTAGAAGCTGTCTACAAGATATTAAGATATCTCAAGGAACCGCAGGAAAGTGGTTGCTCTTCAAAAAGGGTGAAAGTAAAGGCATAGAAATTTTTATAGATGCAAACCGGGCAGGCTCAATAGAAGATAAAAGGTCCACTACTAGATATTGTACCTTTATACGGGGAAATTTGGTAACATGGAGAAGTAAGAAACAGAATATGGTGGCTAGAAGTAATGTAGAAGCTGAGTTTACAGCTGTAGCATAGGGTATATGCAAAGGACCGTGGTTGAAAAAACTGTTGGAAGAATTAAATGTTGTAGTAAGGTTGCCCATCAAACTTTACTGTGATAATAAAGCAGCAATCAATATTTCTGTGAATCCAGTTCAGCATGACCAAACAAAGCAAGTAGAGGTGGATAGACACTTTATTAAGGAAAATATTGAGGAAGGGATCATTTGCATGACTTATGTTCCCACACAAACACAGGTTATAGATGTTTTCACCAAAGGATTACCTAGACAGAAATTCGATAATTTCATTTTCAAGTTGGATATGATTAACATCTATAATCCAACTTGAGAGGGAGTGTCGAAATACCTAATTGATTGAGTAAAGATTGTCTTTTATTCAAATTTAACATAGATAGGATATTGTGATTTATTATAATTGTATGAGATTTATTTTTTTTCTTTCCCTTTTTCATGTATTCTCCTTGTACTATAAAAGAACCAACTCACTGTGCATTATTTGTGAGAAAAAATAAAAGTTCTCTCCCAAGTTTTATTTTTAAATAACTAGATGGAGAAAATCTTCAAGCAGCACAAGTTTTGTTCTGAATAATTTAAGAATGCATTAGCCGTTCCATGACCAACTTCACAACCGTGGGAGCATCAACAGTGACTGCCACCTTGACCGAGGGTTTATCAGACCATTCAGTGACTTCCTCGAAGCTGGATTTTGTAGTGAAAGTGCAAATTTGTGAGTACAGAGGGACGGCAAAAATGAGATTTTCTTCTTGCTATAATAGAATGCATGAAAACCAATCCTTTCATTTTCCATGTAACTTTAAAATCAAGAATAGGAAAAGTATAATGACAATAGTGACTGGAATCATGACATATATATCTGTTAACTTCCGTGTTTGTGTCTAATCATTTTCCTAGGACAACGGTTGCATCTTTTCCTGTTTCAAGTGAGCAATATTTTACTTCCACTGGTATTAATTTAAAAAATAAGCCGGTCAAAATACTTTTCAGAAACTTTTAAAAGTAAGCCTAGAAAGTAAAGACATTGACCCCACAGATGAAAGTTCTACGCCACTACTCTGCAGCATGTTAGAGAGTTTCCCTAAAATAAGAGAGCATTTAATATTTTAATCTCATAGTCTAAACTTCATGGAGTTAAAATTGTCAGTCATGTCTAATTTTCTTTTCATTTTCATTTTCATCATTATACAATGAAATCAGGCAATAACTGAAAAGAAACAATGGATTCAAACAATGTTATAAGCCCATTTGCATTAGCAGTGGAATACTTCAATAAAAGATGATATAAATAGGTATGACCAGAACTTCTACCTTTTCTTTTTGTTATAGAACAATGTTAGACCCCTAGTGATGCCAGTAGTCTGGACTCGGACAGCACCTTCTGTACAGGTGATCAGCGAAGGTTTAACAGCAGCAAGAAGGGCTGTGGGGTCGTGAAGGTAAACACCTGCATTAAAAAAAATAATAAGTCCCAACTAACATCAGAAGTCATTTTCACGATATCTAGCCATTGCTGTAGTTCCCGTTCAGAACAAACCTTTTGTACTGTATGCATCATGATGATAGGAAAAATACACGTCTAAAATTTTGTTTAGATATTGAGCAAACTTTCCATTTGATTCTGCCAGCTTTTCTCTATCCGCATCTACAAAAGAAAAGGGTAAAATGCAGATTCATATGCCAAAATATAATTTATGAAAAATAAGGTCGCATAAATGTTTTGATGGGTTCGGAAATGTAGAGCATTAAACCAATCTTTGCAGTTCTGCCTAGCCAAGAAATGGAAGAGACAGAAACTGAAGGAATTACAAATTTTCTGTTACTCGAGGCTTCATTTGATTGTTAGGAAAATAATGTAACAGGAGTTTCACAGGAAGAGAACATTAATGTGAAAGAAATAAAAGGCAGGATGTAAAAATGTAGGTGCACATAAAACAAACAACATGAATTTTTTCACAGAAGTTAAAAAATTTGAACCGAAACTTACGGATATGGACAGGTACATGTATAACAATAATTAACATTTATTTTTCACATAACGTTTGGAGTACTATTAATTCGTTTTGCAACTCTTTTAATTATGTTACATGATAAAAATTCAGTCTCACTAAAAATAATATTGAAGTTAATTATCACATAGCCAGGGAGATTTTCAGGAGTATTGAGAATCTATGACTTAGTTTTAGTTAAATATAAGGTATTACAGCTTTATTAGTTTTCAATAAGTTGACTCTTATATATTTACCTAGTAGTAAGCATTAATTTTCTTCATACAGTAACTAAAAAATAATAATCATTTTCTTAATTACTTTATTATTTTAATAAAATGTCATTAATAGTGAAAATTAATAACTCGATAGAAGTAATAAATAACAACTTTTATTTCCCTTAAAACTGATTTATTATCACAAATTTTAAATCAAAAAATAATCATAAACAATATTTTAAAGTTAGTTTATATAAAATGAAGTTCATCTATCTGCTCCTCCCTCCCCCAGTTGTCCTACCCCAATTTGCTCCCCCTTATTTTGCTTTCCAGACCGTACTTTCTCAGGTTCTTTTCTTTGTTTTCCCTTATTCATTCCCTCATGCTATTATTTTTCTTTATTGTGATGGTTTCTATATTATCTTTTTATGGTAAATCTATAGTTAAGCTCATACATATTATTCCCTGAATATACATACAGATCTCAAAATACTTTGCTCCAACCATTTGGCACTTGAATTTGTCTCTTAAGAGCTTAATTCTATGCATAAGCTTAATTGGAGATGACACATACTGACGCTAGCCTTACCTATAAGGACACCTCAATAGCTGATATTGTGTGCATTTCAATCATTATCTCCACTACCTCCCCATGTAAAGAGGTCACTTGCAAACTACCTCCCTCAGATGGAAATAGCTAATATACAAGCCAAAACTCTATAATCTAAAAGTACTTCTCATTGCCTAACACCAGCAACATTGTCCAAAAGTTTATCGTAAGAGTTAAGAGGACAAGTTGATACACCCCAAAAAAACAATGGTTATCATCATGTAAACCACTAAGATAAGATGGCATTTTTAGAAGCAATAGATTAAAAACAGGAATGGGGAATTTTCTAGCAATGTTTAATTTGCAAAAAGATTTAAACATGATCTTTTGGCCGTAACTTTGTTGTTAAATAAGCACTTGAAAGGATCTTCATAATAATTATTTTTTAACTTTATTTCCTTCTAGTCAGCCACCTAATCGTTTTAAGAAATCCTTGAAGAAGACAGAAAGTGCTCACAAGTTTGGCCTTAGGCGGGTCTTGTTTATTTGCATCACAGTACTCGTTTAGGTGCTCAGCCTTGGATTGAATACCTAGTCTACTCTTACGACAACGAACTAAGCCTTGTTTTAAATAAATTTAGAGTCAGCGAGATCCTCTTTCGTCCCTCAGTTTGATTCATTGATAAACCTACTTGAAGATCCAAAGCAGCCAGATCCTTGGCAGCCACAAGCAAACGTGTTTGGTATGGTGTATCTTATCTCTTATAACATGTTCGAGATTGCATTAAATGAACATGAGCTTTTTTAGTTCTTCGCAAAATACAAAACACTGTGTCTCAACACTCGGTACCATAAAACATACCTAGTCCAAAATTTTGCCAGAAATAAATTTTGTTTATAACCTCCTTTGAATTTATTAATGGTTAACTATTATAGTATTATATGGTCTTTGTTACAAAATGAGATAAGCTCTTAAAGCTTGTTTCAGTGCCATTATATAAACTATTGATACAGATAAAAATACAAATATAAATACAAATACATTACAGTCCTCCATCTTAAAAATATAAATAAAAGGGATAAAATACGAATATAGAATTGAACAGCAAAACTTAGAGCAATAGAGAAATAACTCTAACTTTTACTTTTACTTTTACAGGTTTTCATTATAAGTTCTTAGGTGTTTCTTATTTTCCAAAAGAAGTTTATTTCAGTTGTCACCAGTTGCCTAAGATTTGGGACGGACAAGATTTGGGATGGACAAGTCTGTCACCCTGCCTCACCTAGCTATTTTGACAATTATCATGCAAATAACTAAAATTTTATAGTTCTTTGAAAATGTTTCACCTACGTGTCCTACCAGAATTGTTGAAGAGGAAGTTGCAAAAGTAGTTAAAATGGATAGAAAGAATAACCAACAGATAAACAGCACATTTAATACCAAGCACATATGACCAGTGAGAAAAGTTGGTCATCACATCCTGAACACTGATAATACGAAACTTAAGATGGAAAGAGGGCTTGTAAATTAATAGTACGCCATTAAAACATGGCAGAAAGAAAATGATTACCAGTTAAAACAACTTGATGGGTAACATTTATCCCAACTGCCAAAACATCAGCTCCACTTGTGAATACAATATCTGCAGCCTCTGGATCTCCAAAAATCTTGTTGTCCAATCAGGAGTGAAAGGAAAGAAAAACCAAATCAAGAAAAATAGGGCCAGGACCTATGACTCACATACAGATACTTTAATGAGAAACTCACATTCGCTTCAGCTGCAGGATTCACATTCCCATTTACTACAAATGCACCACCTAGAAGAACAATTTGCCCAATGTTTTTGACAAAGGAAGGATCTGACTGTATAGCCTGTATTAATCGATTAATCTAGTGAGAATATTTCCAAAAAGAACTCAAAATGGATTGAGAGATTCAAGAAACTGACCAGTGCAATATTTGTTAGAGGACCCAAGGCCACCACAGTGACCTTTCCAGGATAAAGATTAGCTTGCTGGATAAGAAAATCTGCAGCAGACAGTTCAATTGGCTGTCTTTTAGGCGGAGGAAAGTTTTGGTTTCCCAATCCATCGTTACCATGGACAAAATCAGCAATTCGAAGTTTTGTACCTTTCTTTACATGAATTGGAAATGAAGTGAATATGTGAGTCATAATCCAAATAACAGAATCTTCTTCCAGATATGTATTTCACATATTAAGCAGTTTAATAAATATATGAGCAAGCAAACCAAAAACAATTGACAGAAAAGCATTCCAAAATTAAGTTCCCCAGAAATTATAACGACAACTTCCGCATACTTTTCCAATGATATACCTCATTCAGTTTAGTTCTTGCTTAGGCAGGAACATTGGAAGAACATAGTTTGTACATAACATGAACTTCATGTTAAAAAATAAAAATAAAAAAATAAAAAAGAAGAAGAAGAAAGGATGTAGATGCATATCCCGAAATCATGTGATCATTAGCATTTGCAATTTGTTGTATCTCATAGAAATGAAACTGACACAGTCCATGCAATTCATAAACCACCACATATCATCTTCTTCACCGTTTAAAGAGAGAAATAGGACAGGTTTCAGGCTTTCTATATTCCCCAGAAGTTAGCAACTCATAATTTCTCGACCTCCTCCTGAAGAACAAGAATTAGGTGATAAATGCCAATCAAAACACTCGAGCTTCACAATTGGTTCCTCAGATGTAGCAACTACCACTCTTACTTAAATCCAATTATGTGAAGCATCAGACTCATATGACCAAAAACGAAATCTAATTATCAGTGAAACCGCAAAAGAGAGACATTTTTAATTGGTGATACTGTCTTCTTTATAGGAACTCGTGCCTTGATTTGTAAATGAAGCCATTGATTTCTCCAACAAAGCTCGGTAAATTCATTGAGTATAACTGATAGAAAGGTCTAGTTATACTACTAATAAAGATTATTTAAATGGAACACCATTTATGATATAAACCTAACTACCTAAATGTCATTCCACGCTCATATACAGTTGTCTTTTATGGAGAACAAGAATTGCTCATTTCATTGACAAAAACAGAAAAGGCAAAATTTTATATCTAGCGTTTGATTTTATCAGGTATAAAAACACAAAACATAGACTGTAATAACGATGCATACGGTAATTGTCACATGAGAGCCCTTGGCCACAGGAATATCTGTCCTCTCTGCTATCTCCAACTGTATTATTAAAAAAATTCTCCAAACATCAGTGGCCAAAATTATCAAAATAGAAAACTAAAACTTTAAAATTCGATTATTGCCACGCAGACAGTTAACAAAGAAATGGTTGAATGAATAAATAACAGAGCAACATCGACCACAGAATCACGATAAATAGTAAAATTTTCATCCAACCAATATTCATAGAAAGTATTAACAAGACCGAGGGAATTTCCACCCACCCCTCAGCGAATGTGGTCACAACTAGTATGCATTTCAATGCCAATGTTATACAATCATTTTTAACACATGTATCTTACTTTGCTAATTGTGAATCTGTGACAGATTTGTTTATCAACACTACCAGACTAAATGACAACAATTTCTCCTAGAGTAAAAAAAAAGTTTGCATATTTGCAATATTAATGGCTGCAATTACTCACATGTTCACTACAAGATTAATTACAATAAATGCAACTTTTCGAGTCTCATCTGTGACTTCAATTTATCAGTGGTTTGTGTTCTCTTACACAAGGACTATACTATCTGCAAAGAGTGTTTTTGATCCTGATCTTGTATACCCCTTAGTTAACTTATTTTTAATAAAAACAAACAAATACGAATCAGAAGGAATCCTTGACACAACCATACAGTAGTAATAGGAAACTCTCTAAACTTTCGTTTGTAATTCTAAATAGAGGGTACAACCACAGTGATCAGGAGAGTTTGTGAGGTTTCGATTATGGAAGGACTGAATCAAGGGTATCGTATTTGCTTTTCTATTCTCTTTATTGAGACTTGTACCTTATTGACATATTAAGACCTAGATACCGTACAACACTTACTTGGATCTGTACACTCTCTTTCCCTATTATACCATGTCCTTCCCATTCCCAGCTTAATATTCATTCACGTAGTTGATACAATGGGAAAAGAAAACTAGTCTCATAGAAGTAAAAAAGGCTAAAAATTTGCTCTCTGATTCAAAGGTTGCGCCTTGATCTTTAAGAAAATTACATAATTTTACAGAACTTAGAGAGCAAAAAATTGAAAAGAGATAAAATTGAAAATAAAAAATGATTAAAACTTTGTACCAGATGCAAAGCATTTCTGGTGGCGAGAGTGGTGTAGACGTTGCCAAAGATAGTAGTGAGCCCAATCACTTCCACTTCCGGTGATTTTAGCGCCAAAAAAATCGCCATCGCGTCATCTATGCAAATAAAAATTCAGCATCGCATTATTATAGAGCAACGAAATCCAAATCTCAGTTTAAGCAATTAAAATCAGTTCACATATCTATTTACACAGATAAACATAACTCATGTATGTATGTATGTATGTGTATATATATATATATATATATATATATATATACCAATGCCAGGATCGGTGTCTATGATGATTTTCTTGCGTTCTGCCATGATTTGATTTTGATAATAGCTGATCGGATTATTTTCTTGCAATATAGCCCCTGTTTGGCCCCATTACGGGGAAAATTTAATGTATAGAATAGTATTTTTTGAAAAATGAGTGGTTGAAAAAGAAAGAAAAATTTTCGATTTACGTATAATATTATTTTATGGAAGATTGTGTGATTGAAAATAGAAAAGAGAAAAATAGAATGTAATGTAATGTAATTTAATGAAAATCAAACAAGGGTATACATTTTGCTAGAATCGATTCAGTTGGTGTTGACTAATAACTAACGGATAGCTTTAGCCCCCCATTTGACCCAGTTAAATTCAATTACATTATAATCCATTTCTCTCGCTTCTATTTTCAATCACACAATCTTTCATAAAATAATATTATACATAAATAAAAAAAATTTCCTTCTTTTTCAACCACTCATTTTTCTAAAAAATATTAATCCCCCCATTTTCATTTTCAGGTAATGGGGGTCAAACGAAGGCTTAATGCGTTGGTAGAGTTGTGACTGAATTTAATCCATGTCTTTGATTGTTGGTGACTGAAATTTAAAATGTCAAATTCTAATAATTAAATTTAGATTTATGTTTTCGATTGCTCATCGAAAATTAAAATATTGAATTTTAGCCATTGAACTTTAAAAATTTTTATACATTATTTACTGTAAACTCGATATTTTTTAAAGTTCAACATTTATGCCAGTGAATCACGTAAGTTCAGTGACCAAAACTCACATTTTAAACTTTATTGAGCAATTGAAGATATGGATCTAAGTTCAATGATCAAAACTCGATATTTTAAATATCAGTGATCAATCAAAGACATAAGCCTAAATTCAGTGACTACTGGAACATTAATTCTGCGTTCGTACAATATATATTTATTAGGGAAAAAAAGTTTAATTTTACCGAATATCACTTATTTTGAAATGAGTAAAGTTGAATTTTACATGTGCTAATTTGGCTGCCTAGAAATAGCAGTGGGTCAGGTTCGAGATTCAAAATATCGAGTTATGCTATTATTATAGAATAAAATACAAATTCAAATTTTAAAACCCAAAGCAAATAATGCTCAAACTAACATTCTTTTTTCCTTCACGAGGCTGGTTCAGGGCGGGGTCCCCGCCGTACCAAACCATCGGGGCGAATTTTTTTGACATTTCTAGCTATCTTTTTTTTTTATCATCGCCAATGTTTAACTGTCAAGTGTGCATCTATAAAAAGTTTGTGAAACTTTTTCTGTACATATAGCATCACTCATTTCGAATTGTTTCTTGGCTCCAATTTGTACCTATAACATTATTCTTTTCAAAATGATTGACTTATCATCATTAATTGCTAAAATGGGTTATTTCACATGGCAAAACTAAAATAAATAAATAAATAAATTAATGTATATTTTGCTACTTCAAACAAATTTCGACTACGATTGTAAAATTTCTTGACTTCGCTATTGATTTCAGAATTCAACTTTCCAATAGTGTGGCCATATAAACTTGGAAAAGGACATGCTATATAGTCTCCTCACATGTTGAGGGAGCCACATGAGTATTTGTGGGCCCCTGATTGTGAGGAAAATGTAAATGTTCTGTACAAAAAGCAAAGTTGTATAAACTTTTTCTTCACACTCAAGGACCAAATTTACGGTACATCATACATTGACTTTACATTTATATTTTGCATTGATGCATATAATAAACGTTAAAGGACATCTAGACTATTGGAAGATTTATCTATGTATGTTAGACTTAAGTAGTGACTGATAGGATTTTTTACTTATAATAGTATAGAAATCTTCAAATCAAACAATGTAAATTGATAACCTAAAAACCTGAATTCTTTATTATGTCATTGTGAGTTTGTTTGATCCCATTATATTCAACATATATTTTTTCTCTTCTTTTTAATCACAAATTCTTTAATAAAATAATATTACAAGTAGGTTCAAAAAAATTTCTTATTTTTTAACTACATATTTTCCATTAATTTACTATTCCAAAATGCATTCTAATCTAAAAATAGGGTTCAAACAAGCTCTGTGTGTAATAATGACTATCAATCTATAATTAATATATTTTTTTATTTGTTACTTCTTCCATATCTTCTTATTATCTGAGCTTCAATATACACAAGTCTTTATTGTTCTTATTGTGTGCCTTTTGTGCACGTATGGATCCACAAAAGCAATTAGACCTGTGCATTTTGATCGGAATCGAATCTCCTAAATCGAAACAGAATTGAAATCGGATGTTTCGGTCTGATTCCTTGAAAAAATAAATTAGGAACCGAAACCGATAACCAACTAGGTTCAGTTTAATTCTTGGTTCCGAATCAGAACCTTGGGTACTCGATTGGAACCGATTTTTATGAAAAAAAAAAAAAATATATATATATATATATAGGCTGAAAATACATATAAAACCTAAAAATCCTAATTTTGGTAGCAATTAGTCTAAAACTTTAAACTCTAACCCTAAAAAATAAGATTGAGGACTTTTACTTTTTTACATCTCGTCTTCCATCAAATTGTTGCATTTCAGAGGATATTATATGTTAATGTTTACAATTTGAGCTTTTTATGAATCAAAAATTTCAAAAAGATTGTGGTATAAGTTGATAAATCAAAGCATTTATTCTTTACAATTCAAGTTTTTTACTTTCTTGTATTGTTAATAAATTTAAGTGATTTTTTTATAAATTTTTTTTATAGCACATGGCAATTAAATTTGATATATTCATTGCTTGCGTTGTATTGTACTTTTTTCGTTATCTTGAGTTCGTGGTTATCTTTTTAAATATATATTTTTTTATTCAAATGGAGCGAGTTTAATATTTAGACCGTAATTTTTTGAAACTATATTAGTTATGTATTTTTTTTTAGTATTTTTATATCAGGTCGTTTTAAAAGTAGAAGAATTAAGCATTTTTCATAATTAAATTATATGCCCAGTATGTCTCTCTTATAAATCGAATAAGATTTATTAAGAAAAATATTTTTTTCTCAAATTATAATTTCATTTTTATCTTTATTTTATTTTCTCCTATTTTCACTGCTTTTTAGTATCTAATATTTTGCTCCTTAAAAAAATTTTGTAACTGGATTTTCTCTATTGGACAAATATTCTCGAGTAGAAGCTTATTAGGTATATGTAGCAAAATGGTCTATATGAAATTTATTAAATAAATGTATATAAAAATCTATGGGTAGAACCGAAATCAAATCGGAACTGACGATTCGGGTTTGGTTCCATTATTTACAAAAACCCGAATAGTTCCATTTGCGAAATATCCGAAGCATAATGGGTGATTCTGGATATTGAAATATCCGGACCGACCCACTCGATGCCCAAGTCTAAAAGCAATCACTCAGATATTTTCGTAACCTAACTTGAAAAGTACCCGAGGGAACCTCACATCATAGAGAATGTCTATCTCGTGGCAAGGGTCATTTTGAGACGTAAATTATAGGGTGGGTAACTTTGTTTAGAAGATGAGATATCTCAGAAGGATAAGATCTAAAATGTAAATGAAAAAAATTGAAAATATATCTTTTCAAAGTGCTAAAAGAAAGTTCCTTTTATTTTTGATTTTTAGCGAAAATGGTTACAACTTGTAATATTTTCAAATTATCTTTTTATTTAATGGAAAGAAGAGCAAATTAATAGATAATGAAGGCCTTGAACTTTATTCAATGCGAACTTTACTATGTTTTTATATTATGATAGAGAAATTTAATGTTCAACATTAAACATATCACAAATGTACAACTATTTAGAGAAAAAAACTAAAATTAAAGAAGAACAAAAAAATAATTTACTTCTTAATTTGCAAATTAACGAGTTTGATTAATTTATAACAATATTCCTTTTAAGAATTAGCCCCTGTTTGAGCCACATTTTTACCTCATTAAAATGAAATATATGACCGTTATCCATCACAGCAAGCCACAATTTTTGAATTTCTATCTCTGGTGTAGGGCCCATAACGACTCTATTTCTCATTATAATGTGGCTCAAACAAACTCTTAAAAGGGGAAAAAAAAGAGTAAGAGGTAATATGGTTTAAATATGTTTTAAAACTATTCATAGTGAAGATTACTGATAGTCGTTCTACGTGACATGCACGTGATATATTGTTATTACTAATGCATCAAATAACAATTTGTCACGTGTATGAAATTTGGGGCAATTATCGGTAGTTTTCACTATGAATAGCATGACTCGTTTTAAAAATAATTATAAAAGTAATTTTTATAAAGAAGGGAAAAATGGAAAATACAATTTTGTTTCAAGAGAAAAGGGTGAATATGTAGAAACATAAGAGGTGTTTTTATAATTTTTGAAAAAAATGAGGGGTATCTCTAATATTTTCTCTTATACTCGATGAACCTCAAGCAACATACCTACAATTGTAATTTGACAGAGCAGCAAAAAAATTATTCACAAACAAATGTTACAACTTTGTGCTTTCTACATATTCCAACTCCAATCCGCTCATAGATCTTACAGGGATAAGACATGCCTTTTACCTTTAACTTCAAATTGTGGCACTGCAACAAGTTGAGTGGATTGAGAATCGAATATAGAAAAGCAAATATAATTGATGAACAAAACATTTCACTAGGTTGGCTCTTGCCTGTCTATGGATTCTGCAGCAGTTCGAAAGGTTTGATGAACCAAACATTCCTCGCAGGGTACACACCTGGACGAACGCCACTGGCGCCCGTTCAGCAAAGACACATATAATTCCAATAACCAGTATAAATTGTAATGCTACAGTTAACTGGTAATGTCTATGGAGTTGGATTTGGAGCTAGAGTTGGTGCTCATTTCAACTGTAGGAATTGGTTCTTCTGTGTTTGCTATGTTGCTCAGACATGGTGGATTGGCAGCTCCATAGTAAAAGAAAACAATTTTCTTTGACAACTTATCTACTGTTCTGACCCCTGGACACCATGTAAAAGAAGAATTACAATTTAGATAAGGTAAAAACACCATGTGAATAGCTTTCTGCAATTCATCTCTAATCCTTCCATTCTCATTTAGTCTCAAGAATTGAAATAGTCCCTGTGAATAAAAATGTAAAGGACAAAAAACAATTTACCCTGTGTGGTTTCTTCAACTTTTTGACTTGGAGATCACCGTCCTTGATTCAGAAATTCAAGCATTAGCCCTCTGATTAGGTTCGTTCACGTCTTTACACGGATGATTGAAGGTCTTATATAAACTTTAAGAGAATGGAATCTAGGAACCATAGAATGTAAAAATTAAATAGGTATCCAAATAACAGGAGGCTTT